TTCCTATTTAAGGAAATTGTGTTTTCTTATTTATTAAGGAAATTCTGTAGAAAAGGAGTCCAAGTAGAAGTCAACAAGGATTTGTAGAAGGCAAATACAAGTTGAATTATACAAGGATTTATTGAAGTTTTGATCTATAAATAGGGAGCTATTTGCATCAAAAAAATTGTGCACTTACATAGAGAGAAGATCAAAACACGATCAAGAAGTTTGAAAGAGTTTTGAGATTTATTGAGAGTGTAGCAATTTGTGAGAAAAAATTGTAAAATTGTATTCAAGAGTCTTGTTTACGATCTGAGTTTTGTGAGTAGGAGTTGTTCGACAAGTTGTAGAACTTGAAGAACATTGGAAGATATAAAACCGGGGGGTTTTGTGTCTTTGGGTAGCTAGAAATTAGAGTTTATAATTTCTTAGCTAGGAATTAGAGTTTATAATTCCTCTAGGAATTAGAGTTTATAATTCCTTAGGTTACATCGCTTTGTAATCTTTTGTTGAGACGTGAAATTTAATAAAGTGGAGTTAAATCCTACAGAGGTGTAGGTCGTGGTTTTTAGCTTTGTGAGTTGGGGTTTTTCGCGATAAAATATTGTGTCATTATTTTATTTACTTCACAAAACGTAATTGCTGTAATTTCTCAAAGGAACATATAGAATAAACCTGTTCCTAAGGCGAATTTGGGGGTCAGAACTCCAACAGTAGTTATTCGGAAAAGAATTATCAACATATATTTAGTGGGATACTATCTAATAGGCTAGTTTCGATTGGTGCGAAGTAATAACTAAGTCATACATCGAATATGATGCTTAATATGAAATAAAGGTAAGGTTTAGTAACTTAGACACACATAGACGGACCAAGGTACGAGGTGAAATTCTCTAAATATCGGACCAAGGATTTAGAGATACCTAACTTATCACTTTTAATGCAAAACACTAGGGAAGGATTGTTATAGCAAGGAATACGGCGTAATGAACCGATGGGGAACACTTACACCCTAGTTTCTCTCGCAACTTGATAAACATTAAAGATTTGCTCCTGTTAATTTTCTTACTTAGAGATAGCAAAAGACTTTTGTTTCACAAAATCACCCCCCCCCCTTTTAATTACCTTGTTTTGAAAAGGACTTGACTAATAGAAGTAATCGTACATTGGAGTTAAGTCTAAACCATTTTCTTCGTGGAATCAACCCTAACCTAATAGTTGGGTTCTTTACTTGATACGATCGCTTATACTTCTTTAGGGAGGTGTAACCCATAATATCTTCATACCCCCCCCCCCTTCCTTTCTCATCAGAAATCTCCTAAACTCCCCAAATTCCCAAACTCCCAAAACCCTCTCCTTCCAAGACTCTACTACTTTCTCTTGATTCCTCCGGTCGGTGTTCAAAGATGGGCACGCAGGTTGTTGAAAAGATCACTCACCCAATCACTCCATTATGATATTCAGGTATTTCGATGCCCTTTGCTTAATGAATTCTCATTCATTTTCTATTGGATACGTAAATTGGATTGTGGGTCTTAACTTAGGGATGAAATTGTATGTGTTTTCTTTTTAAATAGGTGGTAATACGTCCCTTAGAATGATAAAAAGTGAATGGGTTGTGCTGTAATATGCTTAAACTATGATTATTGACTTTCTGACTTAGGGTTTGGTAACATCGTAGAATCCTAGATTGAACCTTGCGAAATCGAAACTCTAAAGATGAAGAATTAGTCTTATAGTTGTTGTAATGTGTTGGGTAAACATATGCGGGTCTAAAAGATGTCAAAATTTTCCACTCAAAACAAGGTCTGAAATTTGTTCTGACCAACAGCCCTAGACCCTGTATACCGGCCATCGGTTGATCGACGGGCCGTCAATAAGGTCCGGCGATTGATCAACCTTAAAATTGGTTAACTCTTAGACGACGAAAGTGGACTATGGTCCGTCGATTGGTTGACTGGCCATTCTACACATCCGTCGTTTCTAACCCTTGATTTGAGAGAACTTAACATTAGTATTATAAATAGGTATTGTAGTAGGACTCTAAGTATAGTTAATTTAGGACTCTACAATTCTCTTCTATATAAAAAGTACGTACTTAACATTATTAGTTATCAATAAAACAAATATTGATCAACATATAAATACTACCAATATTGATCAACATATAAATATGTCAATATTGATCAATTTATCATTATTGATTAAACTATCAATACATCAATACAATCCTTGATTTCTCTACGTGAAATTTCTACACTCATATCCGATGTTACATATAATACACACATGAACTAATCATATCATATGAGTACTTTAAAATATGATTCTTTATTTGATCCTAATGAAGACATGATAATTACAATAGCTTGTATATCTTTTCTTTTTGCCACACAATTATTTTTTTAAGGAAGTCGTGTTTTCGGTGGTCATTGTCCTTGAAAAGCCACTGTAAGTTGATATGGCATCACAAAATTCAACAAAAGCGTATTTACTCAATTGACAACTATGACAAGTGCAAATAAGTTTTCTTCATGAGAATGAGGTCATATAAATTTTCTTCCTGAGAATGAGGTCATATAATGATGTAATACATATTGTTGTTACACGTAATACCAAAATTAAGAGTTTGTTTGAATTCGCTAAAAAGTAGCTTTAAAGTTAAGAATAAAAAATCAAACTTAAATGATTTTAAAGTAAAAAAATAATAAGTAAAGGAAGTCTACTTTTGGTTTTTAACATATTTTAAGTTATTTTTAATCTTTCAAAACACTTCCTAACTTGTTTTAAGTGATTTTTGACTTATTTTTGTGTAATTTTAAATTTTTCAAATACTTTTAGAAGTTAAAATTGACTTAAGAGCATGTTTAATAAACTTTTAAGCCGATCGAAACTGACAGAAAAGTAGGTTTTATCAACTTTAAAACCGATCCAAACACCCTCTCTCTAATTTGACTTCACTAACCTGATTCCAAACTTTCTCTGGACCTTAATATAATATAAGTGTGTCTCTGGATTTCGGGCTTAGCTTGAGGGGGTAATTGTGCATTATCCCAAAAAAATATAAGTTTTAGAGAAATATTAGAATAGATCCAGAATAAAAAAGGCTAACTCAAAATTCAAGAAAGTTTATATTTACGAAATCAACACCAATAATATAGAGCGAAATCAACATCAATTAATGACTTTGGTATTGAAATTTACAAATTAGTAATAGTAAAATGAAAATAGTTTTTTTTTTGAAGTGGGGAAGAAAATGGAGGAAAAGGTATTTCAATGGAGAAAAAAGTGTATTGAGGAAGACAACAAAAATGAAAATAAAAAAATTAAAGAAATTAAAAGGAGGACCTACTAATTCCATATACCTCTAAATAAATAAAAATTACATTTTTTTAGAGAGTTAATATATCAAGAAAAACTATTTAAAATATTAATTGTATATTGACCAATAAAAAAAGGCCATATGTAGGGCTTTAAAAAATTAATTTTTTTTTCTTTTTTCACGCACTTTAAGGAGAGTACACTCACTCTCCTTGTCACGTCATCCCTTAGGAAGTGTTCAAATCACTTGAAAAATGTTTAGGGGGTATTTAAATGTTCTTGTAGTTTAAGAGTCAAAGTAAATTTTGTTGGCAAGTTTAGGGGGTTTTTATGTATTTTCTCTAACATTAACCTAATATGATATTATTTTATCGATATTTATGATAGTATTTTTAAATTATAATTTATAAT